TTATGGGCTGCGGTCCCATCCCGTCCTAGTGTGGGGTTCTGGGAAGTTGGGCGGCTTCCCCCTCAAAGAGGAGGGCGCAGGGATGTGGACCTCCGGGGATCCTGTCCCCGCCTCTGCTTCCTCTGTCGTGTGTGTGGGCCCTCGAGGTGGACAGGGGCTCGGAGAGGCTGAAGCCGGAACTGGCCTTCGGGACTTGAGCAAGGCCTCTGCACCACGCACACCCCTCCCAGCAAGGGCGGCGGGGCAGTGCCTGAGCTCTCAGCATTTGCTGGATGGGATGTGGCCATGGTTTCGAGGGAGTTAAAACAGCTGAGAAGTGATTAAAAATGAAACTGAACTTTGTTCGATTGAGAAGTAGAAAAAACGCTGGTAGTGTGTGCAGAGGAGATAATCTAGTTACAGATTAGCCCCAGTTCCTGCTTGCGTCCTGCTTTGCTCAGCATGACTATATGTAAATAGTCCCAAGCGTCCAAAGATTAGTTAGCTCAGAAGTTTGAACTCCTCACACTCCTGGCTCAGGTGGAATGGAACAGAGTTTCCAGAGGAGAAATTCTCCTGGACAATGTGCGTAGGTTATAGTATTCTTAATGTATTTTACCCACTTCTGATGAGTCCTGGAATAGCCATAGAAACTTGAATGCTGGTGTCTGGGCTTGAATGAGCAGGTGTCCTCTCTGCGGAGTGTCCTGGGGATGGACTGGAAGTGAGAACTGACCATTTTGACCTGGTTTCGTGTAACTCAGACATGAGCTGTTGCGGGGCTAGCCTGAGCCATCGGGGTGGTGGGACTGGGCTCCTGGCCTCTGGGCTTGTGCTGGGGTTGTTTTTGCCACTCCATACCGTGTCTGATCAGGATGGTGCCTGGCACAGAAGAGTAATGGCTACATTTCCTTCTAAGGTGGTGTGTGATGAAATGCCTCCCTTTTTGCAGGAGGGTGTTCCAGGTTGAGGGTTTTATGTTTGAGTTTTTTGTGGGGTTTTTTGTTTTGTTTAATGCAAAGGCGTTCTGTTTCTTCTTTGTGTCCTTAGCTGTGCTGATGCAAAAGATTTTGGGTTCAGTTACCCTGGTCGAATTCACCAGTGTGCTTGCTGAATGAACCACACTTGGGAGAAGTGTTCAGACCAATGCGAGCTGGCGCTGGTGTCTGAGTCTTCTGTAGGAGTGCAGAAAAGGAGCTGGCTTCAGGAAGGCTTCCTGTTAGTTTTAGCAACAAGAAGCAATGCATTTTGGTTTCGTAAAGGCTCGACTTGTTTGGTTATTCATGAGGGGGCACTGCAGGTCAAATTGGGGAATTCTGTTGTTCTACTCACTAAAACCACATTAATAAAACAGCAACACATCTGCCAGGCGGTAGGTGACTGTCCTTTGTTTTGGCTCGAGGGGCAGTGTTTGCACCAGGCTGCAAACTCACTTCTGTGCTGTGGTTCTCATGTGGGGCTCTAAAGCTTTTGTGAGACAGGGGAGTGTGACATGCACAGGGACAGCAGCTGTGTTTGAGGTGGGAAGGAAGGAACTGGGCTATAGGCTGGTTTTTTTTCTGTCTCAGGCGAGTGTGAGCACCAGAGCCCTGGTGCAGAAGCGGGCTGGCACTTGCTCTCCATCACTGACACTTACAGCTTTAGGACCTAGTGTAGGGGCTGCATCTTCTCACTGGTGGCCTTGTGGGGTATTTGGTGTCATGTATGTACTTGCCTCTAAAC